ATTATGATGGGCAAAAACAACTAACCGTCTAAACGGGAAATTAAAATTAGTGCAATATTTCGAAGAAAGCTATTAACTATTGTATTCGACCTCGCCTGAACCATCAACGAACGTTTTTTTAATACCGTACAGTGCTAAGAAGTCACTGCAACTGGATATGCTGTTTAACATAAATGTCAAATTCACAAAGATGAAAAGCAAATTGCAGACAATATCCACTATCACCAGCAGTTAAATGTCTATATCAATGATAAATTGACAGCAAAATCAAACCAAAAAAATATTCTTTAAAAAACTGTTTGCCAAGAGTTACAATATTTCAAGTTTAGACAACCACCAGTCTTCAGTAACACTAGAAGTGCAGTGCAGAAAACCACTGCTCAATATTGCCCTTACTTTACAATAATGTATCAATTCAAATATACAGACAATCTTATCATCATGGAACGACCAACGATCTGTCAAAACTATTACAACTTCGCGCGTTTGAGCGGATCAAAAAAAATCACCCTCTTTTTTCGGTAGCAAGCGTGAAACGCTGCAATATCTGTTTTTCAGCTAAAAAGTTCAGACTAAACACTTACCAAATCTTTTAAGAAACCCCTTTTGCTCAAAAACAATTCGCGCACTGTAATGCTCTAAAAGTTCCAATCAAAACCTGATATATCAGCATGAGAAAAACCTAGTATAAAACAGAAACTGAAAGGTGATGGCACAAAACGACTGCAACAAAATTATTCCAAGGTTTTTCAGTATGTAAAAAAAGGAATAGAAAATAGAAGACTATTGGGAGCTAGATCACTAATAATTAAGGGACAAGCATGTAACTTTTTATAACTATGCTAAGCGTTGTCTTGCAACACCAATCTTTCTTCTTCTATCAATGTTTTTAGTTTCAATAACCCTTTCCCTGCTCATCTTTGGATAGCAGAGGTCAAAAACACTAGAAGTCACTAGAAGTTTTTATGAACAGTGATCAAGTTACTCGCAAGAAAGTCGAAAAATCATTGGCTTACTAAGATAAAACAACGCCAAATATCTTGCAATAGCAAAAAAGTGATTAAACAAAGGAATTAAAAAGGCTGAATAAATTAGAAAATTTATTCTTGAGAGTTTAGCTTTCTAAAAGAACCCAGGCAATTTAAAAAGAAATTTTAGTGCTCACGTTTGAAAAGAAAGTGCAATGGCACTTAAGCTTTCAAAAATTTCTGCATTTTGAACTCAGTAGAGCTAATGTCTACTGTACTTACAGAAAAAAAAAAAACTGAAGTTAGTCGGTGACACACAGTTCAGTTAAGTGTGTGTCAAATGAGTTGATAAAAATATTTAACGAGGGCAGGCTTATTGATCGATACGAATGAAAAAATTATTCAATTTTGATGACATCAAACCATATCACACAAACTGCTCATGTATGTAATGCATCTGCATATTTCTTAAGTTAGAGCATGCAAAAAAAAAAAAA